ACGGAAACGTAACAGTATATAATTAAAAACTCGTGTTCATTCTTCTACATTTACATTAAGTGTTTTAGTGTGCATGTTAACAGAACTCTGTTCTTCTAAACCTATTACGATTTAATTATATATTTCGTTGTAAATATAAAAACAAATAAATACTGGTCGTTCTCCTAGTTTACGCGATGTTTTAATATGTATTTAACAATAAAAGGCCCAGTTCTCTTCGGTTCAAATTATGCTTTGGTATGTGAATCAACTTATTAATTCAATCCTTCCCGTTCTCCTGCATTCTAATTATCTTATAGTACGTACGTAAATAATAATAATTTCCTGTTCTGGTATGTTTACATTAAGTCTTCAGTATCATTATAAACATAATTCAGTTCTCCTCATTTTCTTCTTCGCTTTCCTCCATTTCTTCGGATGGCTCTCCTTCTTGTTCTTCTTCCAGTGCTTCTTTCAGTTCTTCTTCTTCTTCTGGCCTCGGATCCTCTATTTCGGTGATCTCAGGACCACTAGGATATTCTTCCTGAGGAGTTGGAGGTAGTGAAGGGTTGCAAGGAATAACCGAGTATTTGTGCCCAAAACCGATGTAAACGTTCTCAAAAGTTCTGCAAAAATAAAATGTAATTATTGTAGACTATTGATTGTTTGTAAATACACGGAATCAGGTAAATAATCAAAATTGAAAAGTATATAAAATAAAATCGAGTTTCCGGTACGTTGATATCTTGTATCCAGTTTTGTTTTGATCTATATTGGGGCTATCTTTCGACTCTTTACAGAGTTGTAGAAAGAGTTAAAAACAGCAAAAAATAATTTTTAAAAGAGAACATAAAACATTACTATGTTTCACCACGTTAACGTAGCATCATCAGGTGACAAAAAAACATCGATAACACAGTGCAATAAATACACCAAAATGGTGTATCATGTGGTTATAAATATGAGAATTAATATAAATAAACTCCTGACATTTTATTTATTAACCTGGTAAATTATTTTATAATTACGGCTTCCTTATTTTGACGTTGCTTTATGTTTCTCTTTCTGTAAAACTGAAATTTTCAAATTTCGTTTATTATTTTCCCTATCATGGAGAGGAGATAGGGTGACAATTCTTTTAACCTGCTATCCAATTTTCATCCACTTTCTCTGATATAAACTTTATGAAAATCTGAACGTTTCGTTTTACACACTATAGCTTTTTTACTGTTAAAACTTTGTTAAACATTTTTGACAAAAAAACAAACAAACAAAGCTTTAACGAGGTAGAACATATATTTACAATTCAAGGACAAGTATAAATTTACCAAAGTACTTTTTAACGCTTCAGTCAATCCAGGAATATATAAGGAATAACATACAAAACAACTAATTTAGTAACGTTTTTGTAAACCTTTGACGACCCTAAGTGTCTCTTAATAGCATCAGGAGGGAACTCATTGCATTCAATCAATGCTGTTTTATTTGATCATATGTGATGAACATTACATTGGAAAAACTGGTAGAGAGCTCATTCCAGGATTTCAGAAAATGTTCTGTATGTGGTGACTACTAAATCGGAGAGACTGGCAGCGAACCACATTCCAGGATTTTAGAATATGCTCTGTGTGTGAGATGAACACTATATTGGAAAGACTAGCAGAGAACCTCATTCCAGGATTTAAGAACACGTTCTGTATGTGTTGAATACTACACTGGAGAGAATGGCAGATAATCCCATTTCAGGATTTCAAAACATGTTAAGACTATAAATCAAGATAACTACAATGCTAACGCTTTGGCGGAACATTTTCTAATCAAACATGGACTACCTACCAAATCAGAAGTAATTACGACTAAAGTACTGAAAAAGAACAAAGAAATTCCTGGATAGAAAATATATAAACGAAGTACTTATACTTATAGAGAAGGTTAAGCCACCAAGTAATTGGTATCTGGGTTGACTGATTTAATCCCTGTTTTTGTTATTGTTACAACATCACTGTTTCCTTAACCTAGTAGTATAACTCTTCTTTATAATTTAATATTGTTTTTATCACTATTATTTTTACCTTTATTATTGGAAACCAAACCAGGCGCACGCATGGTACGTGTTGAAAAAATATTATTTCTTTTAAATTTGCGCCAGATGACTAAACAGGAAGCATAAGAACTTATAACGCCACAAATTGGCGTTCGATACCAGCAGTGTGTGTGTAGCAGTTAGCTCATTGTGTAGTTTGGCTTATACACAGTGTAAATTATTCTAAAATTCTTAATTTTTTAGCTCTGCTTGACTAAACATTCTGAAGAAAGCAAAAGCTGAAATGTTAATAGAAATAATATAAACAGTCTAATATATGAAGTTAGTCGTTTGTGTTAAATTAATATAATTTTATTGTAGCCATAAATCAAGAAACAATACCTAGCTAATTAATTCTTCTCTTCTACCGAATTGTTCAAATAGCAGCTTTCAGGAAACTAACTCTTATGTTAAGATTGAAACGTCGAAAGCTGGAAAAGCACTAGAAACCAAAAGGCCTCAAATTTGTTATGAAAATCATGTTATAGATAGGGTTTTCCCACATTTCTCTTAACTCGTCCATTTAGGATTCAAAATCAGAATTCTGGTATTGAATGAAAGGCTTCTTAGGAAGTGGCTCGTGGGAGACAAAAGATAGATCTGAACTAATATTTTTACACGTATCTGATTTTGAATCCGAAATGGACAAGTTAAGAGTAATGTGTAGGTAATGTGATTTTTATCACAAACTTTAACCCTTATATTGTAGTCTCGTTTGGAAGGGCATGATTTAAATTAAGTTTGTGGAAAAAGTATATTTTATAAAGGTGTTTGTTTAATATCCACGTAAAGCAGTATACTGGTTCTCTTCAGTCCTTTCTCGGCGCTGTCCAATTTTTTAAACGTTTTGACCATTGACTCCCATTCTATTCACCAACTGCTATCCAGCCCATGCAACATCCCTACCAGTCACTGGAAGATTATAATTAATTAAAAAAAACACATACAAAAACTGAGATATCATTTTATAATTTAAGCCTAGATTCGATCAAGATCCAACAACAAAAAACAAGATTAAGTGCATGTATCTTGTTTGAGCTTTACTCTTTTAAGATTATAACTTATTCTTACAATTATAGAACTTTCGTACTTACTGCTCGATTTATTGGTATCCAGATACAAGCTTAGATGGCCAACATAATGTTAGTTTATGATTTTATCTATTTCAACATCGGACAAAATAATTTAAAGATAATAATAATTTCTATAATTTTAGCCATGTTAGGCCAAACCACTGTTATGAAAATATCAAATACCTCCTTCAATTAATTTCTATGTTCTTGATGTGATTGGAAATATAAATGATTGGCCATTCAGCCTATGCTCTTAAATGAGAATTTGATAGAGGACCTTTTATATTTTTACTGTTCCTAAGCATTCATTTCACTTTAGAGTACGGTCGTTATGAACAACAAGATGGACTAGAACTGGTGTTTTGGATTGTTGATAAGGTCCTAGGTTGTCCAAGACCAATCCCCTAAAACAGCTGTTTCCAAGATATCTTTATTGCCTAGAGTCAGATGATAGGATGCATTGTTTTTCCAATAGTTTTCTTTATATATATATATGTGTGTGTGTTTTAAAAAGAAACAAGAAGAGAAACAACAGCAGTGGCAAGAAGACCTGCAACAGTGGCAGCTCGAACAGCAAAATAAACAAGAGAGATTACAGCAGTTGTTGGAGGAAAAAAGAAAGGAAACAAGAAGAACAAGAAAATAAACAAGAGAGAGTACAGCAGTGGTTGGAGGAGAAATAAAATAAAAAAGAGAGACTACAGCAGTGGCAACTGGAACAAGAAAAGAAACAGGAAGAAAGGCTCAAACAGTTGAGAGAAAGCCAGCATACACAACTGGAAAAGATGAGTAAATTTCAAAGTGAATTAAATACATTAAAGGATGATTTACTGTCTTTCACACAGGGAGGATATATAAACCATGGACCTACTCAGCCCCAGACAACAGGAAGCCCCTTCCAGACCCTGCAGTTAAACCGTAATGCAGACATCTTCAGTCCTGTCAGAAGTCACATTCAGGCATGAGTGTCAGCAATAGGGGTGACCTATTGTGAAGGAAGCCACGGGAATTCGATGAAAAGGCACCATGGGAAGCATATAGAGCACTATTTGAGCTCCTGGCAGAAATGAATGGATGGACAGAGGAGCAGAAAGCAGTGTACCTCGCAACGAGCTTGAAAGGACAACCATTGGAAATACTTGGACAGTTGTCAGCAGATGACAGGCACAATTACAGAGCACTGGTAGCTGCTCTAGAGCTCAGGTACGGAACTCAAAATCAGTCCGAAGTCTACAGGGCTAGGTTTATGACGAGATTCCGTGCTAAAGGGGAGAGCATGCAAAGGCTAGCACAGGATTTGGAAAGTATGGCACACAAGGCCTACCCAACTGCACCACCCGATGTCTTCAAGCTGTTGCTGAGGGATCAGTTTGTAGACGCCTTGGACAGTCCACAACTGAAGATACAAGTAAAGCAAGCAAACCCTCTACTATGCAGGATGCAATGACCAGAGCTCCTGAATTCAAATCCTACATTAAGTCCAAGGGTGGTACAGTTGTCAGGATTCAAGGCCAGAAAAGGTCAGCTTTCAGAGAGGTTTGAGGGACTTTGCTGGCACTGTAACAAAACTGGGCACAGGAGAGCTCAATGCCGGCAACTTCAACACAGGGAAGATGCCACGGCAGGAAAGGCTGCTACCCAGAGAAGTTGTTGGAACTATAGAAGGCAACGACATATGAGGAGCCAGTGTAAGAAGCATACTACCAATAAGCCAGCCTCGAAGAAACCAGTAGTGTTTGGAGTTGAGGGATGCCCACCAACCCCCATTGTGAAAGACCCAACAGCTAAGTGTAAAATGGCAAGCACACATAGTGTCTACGTGACAGGAAAGTTGGATGGCTAAAAGTGCAACTTTGTCATGGATTCTGCATCTCAGCAAACCCTTGTGAGTATCAGGATGCTAAATCACAAAGGAGTACCAGAAGCCATAAAGAAGCTCTGTGGTGTGACAGGACATTATGCAAGGTTGTGGGGACCAGTGTGGGTAATTATTGATCATATGGGCATAAAGGACAGACACTAAGTATACTTGGCTGACATTGAAGACCAATGCATATTAGGGTTGGATTACTTTTTACAGAGGAAGTGTGTAATTAACTTTGATAAAATGATGTTTGGGAACAACAAAGGCGAAATTCCGGTAAGCGTTGTTGCATCTGTTGATTTGCGTGTCACAGCACTTAAATCAACTACAATACCCCCAATGTCAGAGAAGATAATTTGGGGTAGAATAAAATACCATCTCCAAGGAAGCTCGATGCTTGTGGAAGCAGTGGAAGACCCATCAAGGCCAGCAGACGTGAAGATTGAAAAATCACTTGTGGCAAGTCATCAAGTAGTATCCATAACAGTGGCTAATTTCTCTAAATGTGAGCAAACACTTAAGGAAGGGGCATTTTTTGGGTGTGTGCCAGGAGGTAGATCTAGTCAATGTTAAGGCAAGAAATACAACCATAAAGAAAGGACATCC